CAACTTCTACTAGTTCTGGGGGTTCTGGTTCTAATAAGTCTTCTAGTCTCCAGCGAAGACCACTAGATATTTTAGTGTGTTTTAACGTTTTTAGTACTACAACATTAACTTTTTCTGGATTTACTAACATGGTTGTTTCATCTTTTGGGGACATTAATAAGGTTCCCAGTGCCAATTGGGTTTTCATTATCTTATAATAAATTTGGTATATTATTGTTATAGGTATTATTTTAGATTTCATACATTTTCTGGGATTTTAATATCTAATAGTATATTATTTTCTCGTATTATGAAGACTTTTAAGGGATATTGAATAATTTGGGTAATTATTTATATATACCTGGTCCATTATGAAGATTTGTTTCAAACATTGCTAATATTTGATTTTCGAGTTTTACTAATCTATTATCTCTTAAAGCAACGAACATGAGTGTATCTATTCCTTTTTTGAAGAGAGGTTTTATCACTATTTGTATGGATCCTATATGAAGATATCTATATTCTTTTATATGTTCGGATATTAGAGTTTTGATTATTAATGATATTTTTTCATGATTTTATTGTATTTCTATTTCTTTGTCTACTGTTTTTACTATATATTCAGATTTAAACATATTTTTCCAATTTTGTTTTATAAATAGTTGATATTTTGAGTTTTGGAAGGGTCCATTTATTAAGTTGATTTTTTATTTCAGGAATAGTTAGTTCATGGTGTACTATGTTCATGTTACTGGTTTCTTCTTTTGTATTCTTATTTTCTTCAAACTTTTCTTTTCTTTTAGATAAAAGTTTTATTAATTTCGTCATCCTAAGGCTAAGGTTTAAGATGCTCGGGAACACCACATATTTTATTTGCCACTTACGGGTCTTACCACCTAAATCGGCTTACTAACGCTCATCTACCCTCAAAGACTCTTACGCAATGTTTAATTAATAAAATTTTACTATTAGAAAAGTTTAGTTTTCAGAAAATATGAATTGAGAGAGAATAAACAATTATACAAACAAAGTACGTGGCTTTGTTATTTCACACTAAATCATCAGGATTCGAACCTGACAAAGGTGATCTGGATTGACCTATATGCTTCAAGCAACCCAATCGGGAAGACTTAACTATCCAGTTTTCTAGCCAATATACCTTTAATATTTAAACAATTTTTTTGATGTGGAGGATCGACCTAGACCGCAACCACAGTGCATACTTATTCAGACAAATAGATATATTATTGGCGAATTTTTTTTTATCTTTGGCTCTGATATCATTTCTGGCATCAGCGCATATAAAAGCGGAAGATATAAAAGTGAAAAAGAATGAAGAAGTACAAAATTGTTATTACAAAATTCTTAAGAGAGCTTACAATTTTCGAAACTATTCAGGGATAAGGAAGACTGGGAACTTAGGCTATGAGGGAGTTAGCAGAGGAAGATAGAGTTTAAGGCTCGAAGAGAGTTGTAATTAATACTTCAACAACTGACCCTTTTATAGGCCTAAAGGTTCTCCTATTCAATATTACAACTGACACACTATAGTCAAAAGTGGGCGACAAAGAACATGATTACAATTGACACGCCTTTACTTTTGGCGGCCGACGCTAAAAAACAAAATAGTATAATTACAAGGGCTTTGTTTTTCAACTGTGTGGCCCCAATCATATTTGCGTGAAGAACCAACTGAATCTATTCTGAGAGGGGTGGGACCATAGCATCTGTTGGGCGATGGGCCAACTAACCCCAACTTCTTACTAAGATGCTATCTCTTAGAAGGAAAATTCTTGAAGGTCTTCTTCTTCTAATTTTCTCATAATTCGATAAACTTTTCTTTGTAACTCTTCTTTGGTTGATCTTCTTTTCATGATATTATTAATCATCTTCTTTAATTCTGCTGGAATTGATTGCTAAAATTGATCAAAATCAATATTTTCTTTAGCTTCATACGGATCCTGATCATCTTGTAGGTTGATAATGCCTTCAGTTTCTTCTTCTTCTTCGTCAGAGCCCAATGAGGATAATGTTTCAATCATTTTCTGTTTTAATTGGGCTTTTTCGGCTTTTGATGAAGGGAGTTTCGATAAGTCTATAATGGCTTTTCCTTTTTCTTTTATAGATGACATTTCTCTTTGGATTGGACTTTTTTGTGTGATAAGACCCATTTTCTTCAAATTTTCAAATTTTTCTTCTATATATTGGGTTTCAAATTTTTTCCACAAAAAAATTTAGTTTTTAAGCAGAGGGTTTTAGGATAGGTTTCTTCTTTGTGTTGATGGATTTCAGGAATGTGGGCAAAAAGCCAGCTTATTCCCATGGTTGAACAGAATTTTATGATTCGAAGGTGTGAACGGTATTGGGGAGTAAGACTTTTATATTTTTGGTATATTTTCATGATTTTTTCTGGAATTATGGATTGGACAAGACATATTTGGTGAAACCAATCAACAAACCAATTTGGTAAGGTATTGGGTACTTATTTTTTAAAATATATATACCATAAATGCCTAGGGTTGGTATCAAATAGTATCTTATTCCAGGCTTCTTGGTAATCGAAATAATTATATGAAGGATGTCAAAGGGCCTCGAAAAGCTCTTATCTGTGAAAGAGTATTGGTTTCATTCTTGGTATGAAATGATTTTAATAATTCGTATTTTTGAATAACTAATTATCGAGGGATCTCTATCATGAGGAATGAGGGTTATTTCTGCAGATCCTGTATCTATCAGGATAAATTGGTAAAAAATTTTGGTCTTTTTCAAATTTTTTGACTTAGGAATCCAACTCCATCCTGGAGGAGCTAGTTTTCTGAGTATTCCATAAACATCTTCGGGATTCCAATGTTCTTCTAAAGTAATAATCTTCTGGCATCCTTCTTCTGGCATCCTTTTTAGGGGTTTTAAAACTTTGAAATTTTAATAACATATCCAGTAGTTTTTAAAAAATTAATAATCCTTTAATTTAAAATTACAAATTTAATATCAGCTACTTTCGATTTCTTGACATTTTTACTGTTTATATTTCTAATAAACCATTATTTAAAACAACTTATGCCTTGGACTTGAACAAGGAAAAAAGTTTTAAATATTAATATGCGGATAAAATATAAAACTAATAAAATTAAAAATTGACTTTTACCCACCTTAATAATACTCAAATGAATATGACATTATACAATTCATAAAATTAAGAAAAACAAAACCATTTGTAAACTATGTTCAAATGTAAATGTTCAAATGTTTAGGGAAGGAGAAGGGAAATATAGTTTATATATATTATTCTTTTTTAATTTATTAAAATACATTTTAAAGATAAAACGTAATAAATAAGAGTTTCAATTTGTCTTTTTCCTAAATGAACCCAAACCACCATGACTGATCACCAGCTTGATACCCATCGTCCAGTCAATAAGCCACTCCTCTAAAATAAACCTTACTATTCCAAAGTCTCGTAAAGAAACCCTAAGTCATAGGCTAGAAAATCTTATAGAATACTCTCGAATCCCGAGAAGATGCCCAAATAGAAAGTTCCTTACCACCCTTACTAAGTCCATATAATGTCTTTAGAAGAAACAAAGGGAGATTTTCCTGGAGCGTAAAAAACCCGATATCCACTCCCGGACCAGGAGTAAAAGAAATTATCCAAACCACAAAAATGGATAATTGTGCTCTCAATGCTACTTCGGCGAACGATACGTAGATCTGGAGATAGAACCTTCTCTTATCAAACTACGGCAAAGAGAAGGATATGTGGCTCTTCATTTTGGAGCGATCGGACTAGTACTTACCCTTCATGGGAGAAAAGGCTTACCGGTGACCGCTAGAGTCTCTCTAATAGACTCAACGTTCCAAAAATATGAACATCTTCGTTATTGGAACAGTCTTGACTACGTTAAATTCGGGAAGTGTGGTTTTAACCATGTTTCCTAACTTCGTGTACAACTAAAAGATCCAACTCTTCCAAAGAGATTTCGAGTACAAGTCCAGTTGTCGGAGCACCTCGGGATGAAAGTGCGATGGCAACTACTCTTCATCACCGAGTTGATCTTCAGAATCCAAGATCATTGTTATGATCTTCCAACGAGAATCGCCATTTGCGAGCATGCTCTAATGGTAATCTCAAACACGAGAAGAACATACTCCTTCCATAATCCAAATTCCCGAGATAGATTCCTAGAGAAGAACTCGAACAACTAATCCCAAGAGAGTGGATTAGTAATTATGAAAATTTCAAAAAGAATCAGTCACCAATCATCAAGATGGATCATGCATTCAAAAGACTTCCAGATGGAACGGTGAAGACCATCTTTAAAAAGGAAAAGGACGAAGGATCATCATCAACGGTTTTCACAACTATGATGATTACTTTGGGAGATAAAGAAAGAAAGATTCATGTACATTCCTTCAGACCAGATGGAAAACCCATTTATTCTGATAAAATAAATGGACACTTTATGTGGGATGTAAATCCAGATACGTGTGATCCAGGATGCCCTTGCACGAAACATCCGATAACGAGTGATAATGATGATGACGATTCGGAAGAAGAAGGAGACGATGATGATGATGATGATGAGGATTTCCACAGTCCTCCTCCTAATCACGATAAACCAAGAATGGTGATTTCTCGCCAACCACTTGCCAATATACGAGAAAATCTTGAAGGCTTTGAAAGAAAACTATGAGCACTACTACCAAGAGAAAATGTCAAAAGCACCCCGACCAATACAAACCCAAAGTTGTATGATGTTGTCTTCGGAAGAAGAATTTCCTAGTCTTCGACGAGCAAATCCTCAAGAAGAAAGCTGTAATGAAACCTTTCATTTACGGTAAAGAAGTGACGACGAAGGATCCAAGAAACCTATCTCTCGAGCGGAAGAAGTGCTAAAGCTGGCGGACAAAGAATGCTTTAGCCCGGAATAGCCTACTACAAAAAATTGAAAGAAAAATGGATAGAATAGAATTGTCCATAGAAAAGGAGATTGGAGGCATGAATTCCAGGCTACAAAAGCATTATGCGAGAATTGAAGGAGAAGATAGAAAGACTTGAAGAAGAAACAAGGAAAATCAAAGAAACAAGGAGATTCAACAACCTGCTCATTGAAAAAGAAAGAGAGTTACAAAAAACCAAGGAGCGGTATGAAGAACTTGTCCACTATATAGGAGAGAAAAAGAAGATTCCCATTTTCGAAGATGAACCTTACTATGTAAAGCCATCAAAGATATTTCCAACAATCTCTAGACAATCCCTTAAACCAACTCCACTCTTCCCTCCAAAGGACTCTCCACCAAAACACAGGGAATGGTTTAAAGAAAAGAGAAAAGAGAAAGAATGCGAAGAAAAAGAAGCTTCTCCGAACTTACACCTGAACCTTCTCCTAAAAAGCAGAAATCTCTTCGATGAGAAGATTTTCCAAGATGCCCAGGACCCTTATTCTCAATACACAATCCACCACATCAGTTCAGATGATTCAATACCTTCTTCTGATGAAGAATCAGTAGAATCCTTTGAAGAAAACACTGAAACAGAAGAAGCAGAAGTGAATCATACTTTCATGGCAAATGATACAGATCAACCTTTTGCTGAAAGAACGAGACTACATAATCAAGAAGTCAACACTCCACATCCAACCAACAACATGTTATTCACAATTGATAACATTCCCCCATCTCAATGGAGGAAAAAGTTCCTAGACTTCAAAGCTTGGTTAGATACTAAAATGGTGAACCCGGGAGCGAGACAAATACAAAGTTATAGAAGAATTTTGTGCGAGGCATGACAGGAATTACGAAAGAATGGTATATCACCACGGGAACGAGTCAACCAAGAGAGTCTTCATAATTCTACTATTGAGGAAGTCATTGGAGCATTACAATTCCATTTCTTAGGGAATGCAACATTGCTTGGATCAAGAATCCAGGAGAGAATTCTTTGAAATGAAGTGTTGTTCTTTGGAAAAGAAAGATCTTGACGAGACATTATCCGAGAATGAGTCAAAGGTTTTATCAACTCAATGGAGTCAATGATCCCAGTCTCAAAAACACTTTTGTAAGTTCACTTCCGGAAGAATTACAAGATGAGATGTGGAGGATACTCCAACAAACAAACAAAGAGATCTTGCAGATGACTATGGGAGAAATTTACCGGACTTGCATTGCCGCAAAAGAAAAGTTATGCGATCAACAAAAAATGTTCGACAAAATGGCATCGGACCGGAAGAAATACAAGAAAACTTGCAAGAAAAAATATCTGCAAATCCGAGTGCAAAGAAGATGGTTGTTATTGCAAAAACAAAAAATCAAAAAGAATTCCTCCCAAAGCCAAGTTCAAGTTGAAGAAAGGAAAGAAATACGGGTTCTTCAAAAACAAACCATTCGAGAGGAAAAGGAAACAATCTAAGATGTCATATCTGTAAGCGAAAGGACACTTTGCAAGAAATTGTCCAAACAAAAGAGAAAAATCTGCGAAGGCGATAGAACTCTTCTTAACCCAAGAAGAAGATGATTTAGAATCATTATATGAAGAGCAAACGAGAACCGAGATAACCGGACAATTTTTGCCATTCGCGATACGGAAGAAAGTTCGAGAGGAATCTAGCGGTGAAGAACATTTTCCTGTGTTAAAGATTCAAGAAGTCAATACCACGGAACCGGAGACTCCTTCTCTTCCCAATACGAAATATCCATTTTCCCCTCCAAGTATGATGTTCCAATTAAAGCTATAGGATTTATTGATACTGGCTCTACAAGGACAATGATGAATCCTATTATTCTTCCGACCAAACTATGGACGAATAATATCCATAAGTTCGAGGCAGCAAATGGAGAAATATTCCAGACAACACCGATGACCAAACAGAAGATAGGAATTCAGTTTTTTCCTGGTCATACGATCTGGATAAAGGTAATTGGAAGTGATAAACATGGAAAAGATGTTCGATAGGAAGAGATGTTCTCATTCAAATTCGGAAGGCTGCAAATATTGTCCGATGGTATCAAATTCAAAAGATTGACGAAACCTTTTGTGCCGGTTTCAAATTTATTCACATTAGGCGATGTTCCTCCTGGATATGAAGAAATCGAAACAAGTTACTCAAATTATGTGCAGAAAGCCATAATCTTTTCTCTCATCCAAATCCTTTGTGGAAACGAGAAGAGTTCTTTGTTACTATTCCTTTCAAGAAGAGTGAAGATATCAATCCAACAAAAGCAAGCCATCCAGGAATGAGTCCATCGATTACAAAGCGGCCCAAGAAGAATGTCAACAACTATTAAAACGAGGTCTCATTGAGCCTACCAAATCGAATTGGGCTTGTCCGACCTTTTATGTCAACAAAAGGTCGGAACAAATTCGACAAAAGAAGAGACTTGTTATTGATTACAGATCATTAAACCTTTTCATCAAAGATGACAAATTTCCATTACCCAAGATCTATTCTCTTCACTCTTACATCAAAGACGCCTATTTTTTCTCAAAGTTTGACTTAAAATCAGGATTTTGGCAATTGGGCCTTGACCCCAAAGACAGACCCAAAACAACTTTCAGTATTCCAAATGCCCATTACCAATGGACTGTCCTTCCTTTTGGTTTAAAAGTAGCCCCATCTCTTTTTCAAAAAGCCATGGTTCGAATCTTCCAATCCATCCTTCACAGTGCTCTAATTTACATTGATGACATTCTGCTATTCTCATACACAGAAGCTGATCATAAACTTTTGCTTCAAGAATTCCATGATCTTTGTTACCAATACGGAGTAATGCTCTCAGCAAAGAAATCTGAGGTTGGAGTCAAAGAAATAGATTTCCTTGGAATGCATTTCTTTCACGGAAGATATGTCCCTCAACCACACATAGTGGAAAACTTGCCAAAATTCCCAGATGAAAATATGACAACAAAAGAAATCCAACAATTTCTAGGAATCCTGAACTATGTGAGAAACTTCATTCCAAATATAGCAGTCTACACCTCCAAACTTTCAAAAATGTTGAAAAAGAATCCTCCTCCATGGGGAACAGAACAAACAGAAGCAGTCAAAATTCTGAAAAGAATTGCTCAAGATCCACCACCATTAAAAATTCCTGGAGAAGGAAAAAGAATATTGCAAACAGATGCTAGTGACCATTTTTGGAGTGCTGTATTGATTGAAGAAATTGAAAACAAGAAATTCTACTGTGGACATGCCAGCGGAGCATTTAAAGAAACAGAAATACACTATCACACAGTGTTCAAAGAAACTCTGGCAGTCAAATATGGAATTCAAAAATTTGATTTCCATCTTAGAGGACATCAATTTGAAGTTCATTTAGACAACTCTGCATTTCCTAAGATGCTTGATTTCAAAAACAGAGTACCACCAAATCCTCAGATACTTCGCCTGAAAGAATGGTTTTCCCGATATGATTTCACAGTCAAACACATAAAAGGAAATACCAACATTGTCCCTGATTATCTGAGTCGACCAAAGCCTTTACCAATCCATATCATTTCTTCAACAAATTCCTACCCACTTATCCTCATGCAAAACCCACCTTCCTCTTCTAACCCTTATCCACAAAATCCATTTCCACCTGAAATAAGGTTTGATTTCATAAAAACTCCTGCAACCTTGCAACAGTTTGCTAGACAAAATATGTTTTCATATCTAGCAAGGTCTTTACAAAACCACCAAATACCTCCAAAACAAAATTGGTTCAACCTAGATACTCATTTTCTGAATATCTTTGCTATTCTTATGGGAGAAGAATTCACAGAAGAAGATCAATGGTACTTATGGTGTGTCTCAATCCTGCATCATTATCCAATTATCTTCCCAACAAAAAAGATGTTAAAGATGCTGAAAGAAGATTGTTCCAGTTTATTAATTAAGTTTTTAAGCTGGTATCAACCAATTTCTCTGTGGACAAACGCCATCAATGAAGAGCTAACCAGGACACAAATGATAGATTGGAATTCAGAATACTTCATCACAGTTGCTATAATTCACAGGCCATATTTTGTACATCCAGAATCACATGAACTATGGACACAAAATCAAGTCAGAATTTGCCCTGAAATGTTGACCAAATTTTGACTTGATTTTGTGTCCATAGTTCATGTGATTCTGGATGTACAAAATATGGCCTGTGAATTATAGCAACTGTGATGAAGTATTCTGAATTCCAATCTGTCATTTGTGTCCTGGTTAGCTCTTCATTGATGGCGTTTGTCCACGAGAAATTGGTTGATACCGACTTAAAAACTTAATTAATAAACTGGAACAATCTTCTTTCGAGCATCTTTAACATCTTTTTTGTTGGGAAGATAATTGGATAATGATCAGATTGAGACACACCATAAGTACCATTGATCTTCTTACGTGAATTCTTCTCCCATAAGAATAGCAAAGATATTCGAAAGGAGTATCCGGGTTGAACCAATTTTGTTTTGGAGGTATTTGGTGGTTTTGTAAAGACCTTGCTAGATATGAAAACATATTTTGTCTAGCAAAGCTGTTGCAGGTTGCAGGAGTTTTTATGAAATCAAACCTTATTTCAGTGGAAATGGATTTTGTGGATAAGGGTTAGAAGAGGAAGATGGGTTTTGCATGAGGATAAGTGGGTAGGAATTTGTTGAAGAAATGATATGGATTGGTAAAGGCTTTGGTCGACTCGATAATCGAGGACAATGTTGGTATTTCCTTTTATGTGTTTGACTTGTGAAATCATATCGAAAACCATTCTTTCGGCAAGTATCTGAGGATTTGGTGGTACTGTTTTTGAAATCAAGCATCTTAGGAAATGCAGAGTTGTCTAAATGAACTTCAAATTGATGTCCTCTAAGATGGAAATCAAATTTTTGAATTCCATATTTGACTGCCAGAGTTTCTTTGAACAGCGTGTGATAGTGTATTTGTTTCTTTAAATGCTCAGTGCATGTCCACTGATAGAATTTCTTGTTTTCAATTTCTTCAATCAATACGACACTCCAAAAATGGTCACTAGCATCTGTTTGCAATATTCTTTTCCTTCTCCGAGAATTTTTAATGGTGGTGGATCTTGAGCAATTCTTTTCAGAATTTTGACGCTTCTGTTTGTTCTGTTCCCATGGAGGAGGATTCTTTTTCAACATTTTTGAAAGTTTGGAGGTGTAGATCGCTATATTTGGAATGAAGTTTCTCACATAGTTCGGGATTCCTAGAAATTGTTGGATTTCTTTTGTTGTCATATTTTCATCCGGGAATTTTGGCAAGTTTTCCACTATGTGTGGTTGAGGACATATCTTCACGTGAAAGAAATGCATTCCAAGGAAATCTATTTCTTTGACTCCAACCTCAGATTTCTTTGCTGAGAGCATTACTCCGTATTGGTAACAAAGATCATGGAATTCTTGAAGCAAAAGTTTATGATCAGCTTCTGTGTATGAGAATAGCAGAATGTCATCAATGTAAATTAGAGCACTGTAAAGGATGGGTTGGAAGATTCGAACCATGGCTTTTTGAAAAAGAGATGGGGCTACTTTTAAACCAAAAGGAAGGACAGTCCATTGGTAATGGGCATTTGGAATACTGAAAGCTGTTTTGGGTCTGTCTTTGGGGTCAAGGCCCAATTGCCAAAATCCTGATTTTAAGTCAAACTTTGAGAAAAAATAGGCGTCTTTGATGTAAGAGTGAAGAGAATAGATCTTGGGTAATGGAAATTTGTCATCTTTGATGAAAAGGTTTAATGATCTGTAATCAATAACAAGTCTCTTCTTTTGTCGAATTTGTTCTGACCTTTTGTTGACATAAAAGGCTGGACAAGCCCAATCTGATTTGGTAGGCTCAATGAGACCCTGTTTTAATAGTTGTTGACATTCTTCTTGGGCTGCTTTGTAATCAGATGGACTCATTCCTGGATGGCTTGCTTTTGTTGGATTGATATCTTCACTCTTCTTGAAAGGAATAGTAACAAAGAACTCTTCTCGTTTCCACAAAGGATTTGGATGAGAGAAAAGATTATGGCTTTCTGCACATAATTTGAGTAACTTGTTTCTGATTTCTTCATATCCAGGAGGAACATCAGCTAATGTGAATAAATTTGAAACTGGCACAAAAGGTTTCGTCAATCTTTTGAATTTGATACCATCAGACAATATTTGCAGCTTCCGAATTTGAATGAGAACATCTCTTCCTATCAGAACATCTTTTCCATGTTTATCACTTCCAATTACCTTTATCCAGACTGTACAGCCAGGAAAAAACTGAATTCCTATCTTCTGTTTGGTCATCAGTGTTGTCTGGAATATTTCTCCATTTGCTGCCCTGAACTTATGGATATTATTCGTCCATAGTTTGGCTGGAAGAATAATAGGATTCATCATTGTCCTTGTAGAGCCAGTATCAATAAATCTTATAGCTTTAATTGGAACATCATACTTGGAGGGGAAAATGGATATTTCTGTATTGGGAAGAGAAGGAGTCTCTGGTTCTGTGGTATTGACTTCTTGAATCTTTAACACAGGAAAATGTTCTTCACTGCTAGATTCCTCTGAACTTTCTTCTGTATCAGCAATGGCAAAAATTGTCTGGTTATCTGGTTCTGTTTGCTCTTCATATAATGATTCTAAATCATCTTCTTCTTGGGTTAAGAAGAGTTCTATCAGCTTCGCAGATTTTTCTCTTTTGTTTGGACAATTTCTTGCAAAGTGTCCTTTCTGCTTATAGATATGACATCTTAGATTGTTTCCTTTTCCTCTGAATGGTTTGTTTTTGAAGAACCTGTATTTCTTTCCTTTCTTCAGCTTGAACTTGGCTTTGGGAGGAATTCTTTTTGATTTTTTGTTTTTGCAATAACAACCATCTTCTTTGCACTGGATTTGCAGATATTTTTTCTTGCAAGTTTTCTTGTATTTCTTCTGGTCTGATGCCATTTTGCTGAACATTTTTTGTTGACTGCATAACTTTTCTTTTGCGGCAATGCAAGTCTGGTAAATTTCTCCCATAGTCATCTGCAAGATCTCTTTGTTTGTTTGTTGGAGTATCCTCCACATCTCATCTTGTAATTCTTCTGGAAGTGAACTTACAAAAGTGTTTTTGAGACTGGGATCATTGACTCCATTGAGTTGATAAAACCTTTGACTCATTCTCAGATAATGTCTGTCAAGATCTTTCTTTTCCAAAGAACAACACTTCATTTCAAAGAATTCTCTCCGGGATTCTTGATCCAGCAATGTTGCATTCCCTAAGAAATGGAATTGTAATGCTCCAATGACTTCCTCAATAGTAGAATTATGAAGACTCTCTTGGTTGACTGTTCCCAGGGTGATATACCATTCTTTCAGAATTCCTGTCATGCCTGCACAAAATTCTTCTATAACTTTGTATTTGTCTGCTCCTGGGTTCACCATTTTAGTATCTAACCAAGCTTTGAAGTCTAGGAACTTTTTCCTCCATTGAGATGGGGGAATGTTATCAATTGTGAATAACATGTTGTTGGTTGGATGTGGAGTGTTGACTTCTTGATTATGTAGTCTCGTTCTTTCAGCAAAAGGTTGATCTGTATCATTTGCCATGAAAGTATGATTCACTTCGCTTCTTCCGTTTCAGTGTTTTCTTCAAAGGATTCTACTCGATTCTTCATCGGAAGAAGGTATTGAATCATCCGAACCGATGTGGTGGATTGTGTATTGAGAATAAGGGTCCTGGGCATCTTGGAAAATCTTCTCATCGGAAGAGATTTCGCTTTTTTAGGAGAAGGTTCGGGTGTAAGTTCGAGGAGAAGCTTCTTTTCTTCGATTCTTTCTCTTTTCTCTTTTCTTTAAACCATTCCCTGTGTTTTGGTGGAGAGTCCTTTGGAGGGAAGAGTGGAGTTGGTTTAAGGGATTGTCTAGAGATTGTTGGAAATATCTTTGATGGCTTTACATAGTAAGGGTCATCTTCGAAAATGGGAATCTTCTTTTTCTCTCCTATATAGTGGACAAGTTCTTCATACTGCTCCTTGGTTTTTTGTAACTCTCTTTCTTTTTCAATGAGCAGGTTGTTGAATCTCCTTGTTTCTTTGATTTTCCTTGTTTCTTCTTCAAGTCTTTCTATTTTCTCCTTCAATTCTGCATAATGCTTTTGTAGCCTGGAATTCATGCCTCCAATCTCCTTTTCTATGGACAATTCTATTCTATCCATTTTTCTTTCAATTTTTTGTAGTAGGCTATTCTGGGCTAAAGCATTCTTTGTCTGCCAGTTTAGCACTTCTTCTGCCTGAGAGATAGGTTTCTTGGATCCTTCTGCTGTCACTTCTTTACTGTAAATGAAAGGTTTCATTACAGTTTCTTCTTGAGGATTTGCTCGTCGAAGACTAGGAAATTCTTCTTCTGAAGACAACATCATACAACTTTGGGTTTGTAATGGTTGGGGTGCTTTTGACATTTTCTCTTGGTAGTAGTGCTCATAGTTTTCTTTCAAAGCCTTCAAGATTTTCTCGTATATTGGCAGTGGTTGGCGAGAAATCACCATTCTTGGTTTATCAGGATTAGGAGGAGGACTGTGGAAATCCTCATCATCATCATCATCACTGTCTCCTTCTTCTTCTGAATCGTCATCGTCATTATCACTGTTATCAGATGTTTCTGTGCAAGGGCATCCTGGATCACACGTATCTGGATTTACATCCCACATAAAGTGTCCATTTATTTTATCAGAATAAATGAGTTTTCCATCTGGTCTGAAGGAATGTACAGGAATCTTTCTTTCTTTATCTCCCAAAGTAATCATCATAGTTGTGAAAACCGTTGATGATGATCCTTCGTCCTTTTCCTTTTTAAAGATGGTCTTCACCGTTCCATCTGGAAGTCTTTTGAATGCATGATCCATCTTGATGATTGGTGACTGATTCTTTTTGAATTTTTCATAATTACTAATCCACTCTCTTGGGATTAGTTGTTCGAGTTCTTCTCTAGGAATCTGTCTGGGAATTTGGATTATGGAAGGAGTATGTTCTTCTGTGTTTGAGATTACCATTAGAGCATGCTCTGCAAATGGCGATTCTGTTGGAAGATCATAACAATGATCTTGGATTCTGAAGATCAACTGGTGATGAAGAGTAGCTGCCATCGCACTTTCATCCTGAGGTGCTCCGACAATCTGGACTTGTACTCGAAATCTCTTTGGAAGAGTTGGATCTTTTAGTTGTACACAGAAGTTAGGAAACATGGTTAAAACCACACTTCCTGAATTTAACGTAGTCAAGACTGTTCCAATAACAGCATGTTCATATTTTTGGAACGTTGAGTCTATTAGAGAGACTCTAGCGGTCACCGGTAAGCCTTTTCTCCCATGAAGGGTAAGTACTAGTCTGACTGCTCCAAAATGAAGAGCCACATATCCTTCTCTTTGCCAGAGTTTGATAAGAGAAGGTTCTATCTCCAGATCTACGTACTGTTCTGCCGAAGTAGCATTGAGAGCACAATTATCCATTTTTGTGGTTTGGATAATTTCTTTTACTCCTGGTCTAGGAGTGGATATCAGGTTTTTTACGCTCCAGGAAAATCTCCCTTTGTTTCTTCTAAAGACATTATATGGACTTAGTAAGGGTGGTAAGGAACTTTCTATTTGGGCATCTTCTGGGATTCGAGAGTATTCTATAAGATTTTCTAGCCTATGACTTAGGGTTTCTTTACAGGACTTTGGAATAGTAAGGTTTATTTTAGAGGAGTGGCTTATTGACGGACGATGGGTATCAAGCTGGTGATCAGTCATGGTGGTTTGGGTTCTCTCCTTACTCATCCTTCTTAACTATTATACTATGTTCCCCGATGAAAAGAATAAATAAAGGAATAGTAGGCAACAGTTAGGCTTTGATACCACTGTGCCGGGAGCTCTGCATATCTTTAATATAATCATTAAACCTTTCACATGCGAGACTTCAGTATTCCAAACTTACTTTCTCAAGCACAACTAATTAGTTTAACAATCATATCAAAAATAGCAGAGACCGAAAATGGATCTGGATCACATAAACTTTCTGATGTACAGGATCCTCTTATGAGGCAAGTACAGAGCATACTTATCTATGCTGGATTTTACTATTCCTTTATTCTTCATCTCACCTGAGATAGATACGTGGCGTTGTTGCGACTTATCCCTGTGAAGGGAGTCTGCAGAGAATAGGCATGAAGGCCTCGCTCTGTAATTAGGTATGAAACCAACAGAGGTTCTCCACTTTTCCAGCCAATATATCTTCATCGAGTTAGAGGAACAATAGCATAATAGAAAATAAAGACTTTCAGGAGAGAAAACTAAGAACTTAGAAACTCATAGATGAGAAAACACTCAAATTTTATTTCTGGGTTTTCTTCGATATCTTACAAAGATGGGGTACCTCCCTTTTATAACTAAAGGAAGGCATATACGGACAAACATAATTTACATCAATTATACATATCTGGTCCAACTTTATCTTGTCGGCACCTTTATGTCACATAACACCCTTATCATATCTTATCGTTATCTTTATGTCATATTTTACAGCACATCTACCATATCTTGTCGGCATCTTTCTATCACATCATTTGAAAATGGGTTCATGACTTGGTGACAAATTTGGATCATCTGAGTCAGAGTCTTCCGTGTCCATTATTAAGTCTTCATCATTATCTTCTTTCATCATGATAATTTGTCCTTCAATATTTGCCGATTCCATGTGAATTTGTCTACTTCTTTGGATATTGACAAGTGGCATCACTCTTTCTTCTTGATCATGGAAAGGTCCAGAGTCTCCATCTGGCTTGCAGATTATATCTAAGGGCTTCAGATGTGAACACGTGGAATTTTTGTTGATCATTTCCGAAAATGTTCCATTAAGTCTGTGCAGTTCTATGATTAACTCACTTTGATAGAATGGAGGTTGATCCTGTTGAGTAAAAATCTTTAACCTTGGAAATGTTGACCAAATTCTGACTTGATTTTGTGTCCATAGTTCATGTGATTCTGGATGTACAAAATATGGCCTGTGAATTATAGCAACTGTGATGAAGTATTCTGAATTCCAATCTGTCATTTGTGTCCTTGTTAGCTCTTCATTGATGGCGTTTGTCCACAGAGAAATTGGTTGATACCAGCTTAAAAACTTAATTAATAAACTGGAACAATCTTCTTTCAGCATCTTTAACATCTTTTTTGTTGGGAAGATAATTGGATAATGATGCAGGATTGAGACACACCATAAGTACCATTGATCTTCTTCTGTGAATTCTTCTCCCATAAGAATAGCAAAGATATTCAGAAAAGGAGTATCTGGGTTGAACCAATTTTGTTTTGGAGGTATTTGGTGGTTTTGTAAAGACCTTGCTAGATATGAAAACATATTTTGTCTAGCAAACTGTTGCAAGGTTGCAGGAGTTTTTATGAAATCAAACCTTATTTCAGGTGGAAATGGATTTTGTGGATAAGGGTTAGAAGAGGAAGGTGGGTTTTGCATGAGGATAAGTGGGTAGGAATTTGTTGAAGAAATGATATGGATTGGTAAAGGCTTTGGTCGACTCAGATAATCAGGGACAATGTTGGTATTTCCTTTTATGTGTCTGACTGTGAAATCATATCGGGAAAACCATTCTTTCAGGCGAAGTATCTGAGGATTTGGTGGTACTCTGTTTTTGAAATCAAGCATCTTAGGAAATGCAGAGTTGTCTAAATGAACTTCAAATTGATGTCCTCTAAGATGGAAATCAAATTTTTGAATTCCATATTTGACTGCCAGAGTTTCTTTGAACACTGTGTGATAGTGTATTTCTGTTTCTTTAAATGCTCCGCTGGCATGTCCACAGTAGAATTTCTTGTTTTCAATTTCTTCAATCAATACAGCACTCCAAAAATGGTCACTAGCATCTGTTTGCAATATTCTTTTTCCTTCTCCAGGAATTTTTAATGGTGGTGGATCTTGAGCAATTTTTTTCAGAATTTTGACTGCTTCTGTTTGTTCTGTTCCCCATGGAGGAGGATTCTTTTTCAACATTTTTGAAAGTTTGGAGGTGTAGACTGCTATATTTGGAATGAAGTTTCTCACATAGTTCAGGATTCCTAGAAATTGTTGGATTTCTTTTGTTGTCATATTTTCATCTGGGAATTTTGGCAAGTTTTCCACTATGTGTGGTTGAGGGACATATCTTCCGTGAAAGAAATGCATTCCAAGGAAATCTATTTCTTTGACTCCAACCTCAGATTTCTTTGCTGAGAGCATTACTCCGTATTGGTAACAAAGATCATGGAATTCTTGAAGCAAAAGTTTATGATCAGCTTCTGTGTATGAGAATAGCAGAATGTCATCAATGTAAATTAGAGCACTGTGAAGGATGGGTTGGAAGATTCGAACCATGGCTTTTTGAAAAAGAGATGGGGCTACTTTTAAACCAAAAGGAAGGACAATCCATTGGTAATGGGCATTTGGAATACTGAAAGCTGTTTTGGGTCTGTCTTTGGGGTCAAGGCCCAATGGCCAAAATCCTGATTTTAAGTCAAACTTTGAGAAAAAATAGGCGTCTTTGATGTAAGAGTGAAGAGAATAGATCTTGGGTAATGGAAATTTGTCATCTTTGATGAAAAGGTTTAATGATCTGTAATCAATAACAAGTCTCTTCTTTTGTCGAATTTGTTCTGACCTTTTGTTGACATAAAAGGCTGGACAGGCCCAATCTGATTTGGTAGGCTCAATGAGACCCTGTTTTAATAGTTGTTGACATTCTTCTTGGGCTGCTTTGTAATCAGATGGACTCATTCCTGGATGGCTTGCTTTTGTTGGATTGATATCTTCACTCTTCTTGAAAGGAATAGTAACAAAGAACTCTTCTCGTTTCCACAAAGGATTTGGATGAGAGAAAAGATTATGGCTTTCTGCACATAATTTGAGTAACTTGTTTCTGATTTCTTCATATCCAGGAGGAACATCAGCTAATGTGAATAAATTTGAAACTGGCACAAAAGGTTTCGTCAATCTTTAGAATTTGATACCATCAGACAATATTTGTAGCTTCCGAATTTGAATGAGAACATCTCTTCCTATCAGAACATCTTTTCCATGTTTATCACTTCCAATTACCTTTATCCAGACTGTACAGCCAGGAAAAAACTGAATTCCTATCTTCTGTTTGGTCATCAGTGTTGTCTGGAATATTTCTCCATTTGCTACCCTGAACTTATGGATATTATTCGTCCATAGTTTGGCTAGAAGAATAATAGGATTCATCATTGTCCTTGTAGAGCCAGTATCAATAAATCCTATAGCTTTAATTGGAACATCATACTTGGAGGGGAAAATGGATATTTCTGTATTGGGAAGAGAAGGAGTCTCTGGTTCTGTGGTATTGACTTCTTGAATCTTTAACACAGGAAAATGTTCTTCACTGCTAGATTCCTCTGAACTTTCTTCTGTATCAGCAATGGCAAAAATTGTCTGGTTATCTGGTTCTGTTTGCTCTTCATATAATGATTCTAAATCATCTTCTTCTTGGGTTAAGAAGAGTTCTATCAGCTTCGCAGATTTTTCTCTTTTGTTTGGACAATTTCTTGCAAAGTGTCCTTTCTGCTTACAGATATGACATCTTAGATTGTTTCCTTTTCCTCTGAATGGTTTGTTTTTGAAGAACCTATATTTCTTTCCTTTCTTCAGCTTGAACTTGGCTTTGGGAGGAATTCTTTTTGATTTTTTGTTTTTGCAATAACAACCATCTTCTTTGCACTCGGATTTGCGAGATATTTTTTCTTGCAAGTTTTCTTGTATTTCTTCGGTCCGATGCCATTTTGTTGAACATTTTTTGTTGATCGCATAACTTTTCTTTTGCGGCAATGCAAGTCCGGTAAATTTCTCCCATAGTCATCTGCAAGATCTCTTTGTTTGTTTGTTGGAGTATCCTCCACATCTCATCTTGTAATTCTTCCGGAAGTGAACTTACAAAAGTGTTTTTGAGACTGGGATCATTGACTCCATTGAGTTGATAAAACCTTTGACTCATTCTCAGATAATGTCTGTCAAGATCTTTCTTTTCCAAAGAACAACACTTCATTTCAAAGAATTCTCTCCGGGATTCTTGATCCAGCAATGTTGCATTCCCTAAGAAATGGAATTGTAATGCTCCAATGACTTCCTCAATAGTAGAATTATGAAGACTCTCTTGGTTGACTGTTCCCAGGGTGATATACCATTCTTTCAGAATTCCTGTCATGCCTGCACAGAATTCTTCTATAACTTTGTATTTGTCTGCTCCTGGGTTCACCATTTTAGTATCTAACCAAGTTTTGAAGTCTAGGAACTTTTTCCTCCATTGAGATGGGGGAATGTTATCAATTGTGAATAACATGTTGTTGGTTGGATGTGGAGTGTTGACTTCTTGATTATGTAGTCTCGTTCTTTCAGCAAAAGGTTGATCTGTATCATTTGCCATGAAAGTATGATTCACTTCTGCTTCTTCTGTTTCAGTGTTTTCTTCAAAGGATTCTACTGATTCTTCATCAGAAGAAGGTATTGAATCATCTGAACTGATGTGGTGGATTGTGTATTGAGAATAAGGGTCCTGGGCATCTTGGAAAATCTTCTCATCAGAAGAGATTTCTGCTTTTTTAGGAGAAGGTTCAGGTGTAAGTTCAGGAGAAGCTTCTTTTTCTTCAGATTCTTTCTCTTTTCTCTTTTCTTTAAACCATTCCCTGTGTTTTGGTGGAGAGTCCTTTGGAGGGAAGAGTGGAGTTGGTTTAAGGGATTGTCTAGAGATTGTTGGAAATATCTTTGATGGCTTTACATAGTAAGGGTCATCTTCGAAAATGGGAATCTTCTTTTTCTCTCCTATATAGTGGACAAGTTCTTCATACTGCTCCTTGGTTTTTTGTAACTCTCTTTCTTTTTCAATGAGCAGGTTGTTGAATCTCCTTGTTTCTTTGATTTTCCTTGTTTCTTCTTCAAGTCTTTCTATCTTCTCCTTCAATTCTGCATAATGCTTTTGTAGCCTGGAATTCATGCCTCCAATCTCCTTTTCTATGGACAATTCTATTCTATCCATTTTTCTTTCAATTTTTTGTAGTAGGCTATTCTGGGCTAAAGCATTCTTTGTCTGCCAGTTTAGCACTTCTTCTGCCTGAGAGATAGGTTTCTTGGATCCTTCTGCTGTCACTTCTTTACTGTAAATGAAAGGTTTCATTACAGTTTCTTCTTGAGGATTTGCTCGTCGAAGACTAGGAAATTCTTCTTCTGAAGATAACATCATATAACTTTGGGTTTGTATTGGTTGGGATGCTTTTGACATTTTCTCTTGGTAGTAGTGCTCATAGTTTTCTTTCAAAGCCTTCAAGATTTTCTCGTATATTGGCAGTGGTTGGCGAGAAATCACCATTCTTGGTTTATCAGGATTAGGAGGAGGACTGTGGAAATCCTCATCATCATCATCATCACTGTCTCCTTCTTCTTCTGAATCGTCATCGTCATTATCACTGTTATCAGATGTTTCTGTGCAAGGGCATCCTGGATCACACGTATCTGGATTTACATCCCACATAAAGTGTCCATTTATTTTATCAGAATAAATGGGTTTTCCATCTGGTCTGAAGGAATGTACAGGAATCTTTCTTTCTTTATCTCCCAAAGTAATCATCATAGTTGTGAAAACCGTTGATGATGATCCTTCGTCCTTTTCCTTTTTAAAGATGGTCTTCACCGTTCCATCTGGAAGTCTTTTGAATGCATGATCCATCTTGATGATTGGTGACTGATTCTTTTTGAAATTTTCATAATTACTAATCCACTCTCTTGGGATTAGTTGTTCGAGTTCTTCTCTAGGAATCTGTCTGGGAATTTGGATTATGGAAGGAGTATGTTCTTCTCGTGTTTGAGATTACCATTAGAGCATGCTCGCAAATGGCGATTCTGTTGGAAGATCATAACAATGATCTTGGATTCTGAAGATCAACTCGGTGATGAAGAGTAATTGTTCATTTTTTATTTTTTATTTTATTAATTGAATTTTAATTTCTTTAATTTCTTCTTTTAGAAGGCTTATTTCTTTTTGCAAGTCTTGTAAATTTATTGGTTTCTCTTTATTTATTGTCTTTCGTAATATTTTTGAGAAATCATAATCACTTACTTTTGTTGATACGGTTTCTACTTCTTTTTCGCTTAATATTAATATTTTTAATTTAGTTAAATATTCTAACTTATCTTCTTCATTTGGAAGTTTATCTACTATTTCTAAGGCTATTTTAGTTTCGGTAGTTAAAACATTAATATTAAATATACAATCATAATTTTTTTCATTCTCATATTCTCATTTTCACTCGGATTAGTGGTATTTTCATCTTCATTACTACTCGGTTTCTATTAAATTATTTATATCTTCTTCTGATTCATATAACAATATTTTTGTTATTTGGTTTTTTATCTCTTCACTCATATCTAGGTTTTGTATCCTTTCTCGGACTCTACAATCTTTTTTTATATGTCCATATCTTCCACATTTATAACAAACTATTCCTTTCTTTGAAACTATTCCTTTCTTTGAATTAGGTTGATTATTACTTATAAGAGGGTTTGTTCTTATTTTTCTTTTAAAGTTTCTAGGAATGTTCTTACCATTATTTTGAGAAAATTTTCTTTTAATTATTTATTTTTTCTTATTTTTTCTAGAAGGAGGATCTAATTTTTCATACACATATTGCATGCAGAAATCTCCTAATTCTTTTGTACCACTTTCTTGTTATCTTTTAATTTGTTTTTCTAAAAGTTATTACATATTTCTAAGGCAGTGTTTTTAATAATTGAAATTATTTTTCCATATGTAAGGTTCAAGGTATTTTTGGACTAATTTTTCTCATACTTTTGTTGTGAATACTTGGGGTAGCACAACAATAAATCTTTCTTTCCAAAAGGTTTCTTTGCAATCTGTTCTAGTCATTACCATGATTATGAAATTGTCTACATACCATCCGAAGTCTCCTAGAGTGGAACATCTTAGATTATGTAGCAAGATACTAGTTTTTTCTTCAAATGTGTTAGAATCGCCCATAAAATTATGGATAATTGATATTATTAATGTTTTTACCATCAGGGGTATTTGTGTATTTCCATCTTGTTTTATTGCTGTTAAAATAAATCGTCTTTGATCTGCAAATAGATAATTTTCCCACCATCCTTTTAAGGATCCGGTAAATCCTAGGATTAATAATTGTATTATTTGTTCTTCTGAGTTTTTTGCCCTATATGCTGAAGTATCCATGACCATTTCATTAGTTTTCCTTAATAATTGATAATCAGTTAGTCCATTTATGTTCTATTAAAGGCGGATGGTCTTTCTAAATTCCATTCTTCAAATTGTATATCTGGTAAGGTTGGTCTTCTATAATAATTTCTAGTAGTTGACATATTATGGGTAGTTGGATTTACATTAAATTTACTTCCTATTCTATTTATCTTTTCTTTATAATCTATATTTCCTAGTTCTTCCTCCGGGATGTCTATAACATTTAATTTTCTTACATTTAATTGTTCTAATTTTTTATTTATTTTTTCTAATATTCTATTCGATTGATTTTCTATTTTAAACTCTTTATATTCTTTATCGGATAATCTTATAGGGTTTATTAAAGATTTTTGTAGGTCAGTTATTCCTAATAGATTTTTATTATTTTGTGAAATTTCTTCCTCAATAGTTTTTTTTGAGCTATTTGGTGTAATATTTGATTTGTAAAGTTTAGCTGACTAGGCAAATTTTGAATATCATTTATGTTAGGAGTATAACTGATATTTCTTTTTTTTCCTATCATTTTGAAGGGTAATGCAATTACTTCTTTATTTTCAATGTTAGAAAATCTTACTTCTTCTAGAGGAGGGATTTTACTGATTACTTCTTTATTTTTCGTTTTCCATATTTTTTCAGCATTTTGTAGTACATTAATTTGTAGATTTTCTAAACAGTTTTCTTTAAACCATCTAAAATACGGTATGTTTTCTTGAATTAAGTTTAAGTGCTTATAATATTTTTCGCGGTATTGTTTTAATTCATCTTGAGTAAAAGTTTTAAAAAATCATTCTCTTTTTTCTTTATTTTTTTCATCTAAAAATTCTTGTCTATAGGTCTTTGTTTATTTCGAATTTTGTTATTACATTTATTATACTATCATCTTGTTGTATTTCGGAAGTAGAAGGAGAATTATGAGTTTCTATATTTTCATATTCATATTCTGGCATTGGGATTGTGGGGTCTTGTTTTATTCCCTTTAATTTTAAACTTCTATGATGTATTAGACTAGATTGATTTATTGATCTTCTGGCTGTTACAAAAGTATTTCTAGTAGATGTTCCTCTTAATGAATTTACTCTTCTAATTGGGGCAAAGGATACTTTACTGTTCCTGATTTATATTCAGTTATATTTTCAACTTCTACTGGTTATGGGGGTTCTGGTTCTAATAAGTCTTCTAGTCTCCAGCTAAGACCACTAGATATTTTAGTGTGTTTTAACGTTTTTGGTATTACCGCATTAACTTTTTCTGGATTTACTAACATGGTTGTTTCATCTTTTGGGGACATTAATAAGGTTCCCAATGCCAATTGGGTTTTCATTATCTTATAATAAATTTGGTATATTATTGTTATAGGTATTATTTTAGATTTCATACATTTTCGGGGATTTTAATATCTAATAGTATATTATTTTCTGTATTATGAAGACTTTTAAGAGATATTGAATAATTTGGGTAATTATTTATATATACTGGTCCATTATGAAGATTTGTTTCAAACATTGCTAATATTTGATTTTCGAGTTTTACTAATATATTATCTCTTAAGGCAACGAACATGGGTGTATCTATTCCTTTTCTGAAAAGAGATTTTATCGCTATTTGTATGGATCCTATATGAAGATATCTATATTCTTTTATATGTTTGGATATTAGAGTTTTGATTATTAATGATATTTTTCATGATTTGATTGTATTTCTATTTCTTTGTCTACTGTTTTTACTATATATTCAGATTTAAACATATTTTTACAAATAGTTGATATTTCGAGTTTTGGAAGGGTCCATTTATTAAGTTGATTTTTTATTTCAGGAATATTTAGTTCATGGTGTACTATGTTCATGTTACTGGTTTCTTCTTTTGTATTCTTATTTTCTTCAAACTTTTCTTTTCCTTTAGATAAAAGTTTTATTAATTTCGCCATCCTAAGGCTAAGGTCTAAGATGCTCGGGAACACCACATGTTTTATTGTCACTTACGGGTCTTACCACCTAAATCGGCTTACTAACGCTCATCTACCCTCAAAGACTCTTAGGCAAGGTTTAATTAATAAAATTTTACTATTAGAAAAGTTTAGTTTTCAGAAAATATGAATTCAGAGAGAATAAACAGTTATACAAACAAAGTACGTGACTTTGTTATTTCACACTAAATCATCACGATTCGAACCTGACAAAGGTGATATGGACTGACCTATTATGCTTCAAGCAACCCAATCGGGAAGACTTAACTATCCAGTTTTCTAGCCAATATACCTTTAATATTTAAACAGTTTTTTTGATGTGGAGGATTGACCTAGACCGCAACCACAGTGCATACTTATTCAGACAAACAAATATATTATCGGCGAAATTTTTTTTATCTTTGGCTCTGATATCATTTCTGGCATCAGCACATATAAAAGCGGAAGATATAAAAGCGAAAGATATAAAAGCGAAAAAGAATAAAGAAGTACAAAATTCTTAAGAGAGCTTACAATTTTTGAAACTATTCAGGGATAAGGAAGACTGGGAACTTAGGCTATGAGGGAGTTGGCAGAGGAAGATAGAGTTTAAGGCTCGAAGAGAGTTGTAATTGATACTTCAACAACTAACCCTTTTATAGGCCTAAAGGTTCTCCTATTCAATATTACAATTGACACACTATAGTCAAAAGTGGGCGACAAAGAACATGATTACAATTGACACGCCTTTACTTTTGGCGGCCGACGCTAAAAAACAAAATAGTATAATTACAAGGGCTTTGTTTTTCAACTGTGTGGGCCCCAATCATATTTGCGTGAAGAACCAACTGAATCTATTATGAGAGGGGTGGGACCATAGCATCTGTTGGGCGATGGGTCAACTAAGCCCAGCTTCTTACTAAGATGCTATCTCTTAGAAGGAAAATTCTTGAAGGTCTTCTTCTTCTAATTTTCTCATAATTCGATAAACTTTTCTTTGTAACTCTTCTTTGGTTGATCTTCTTTTCATGATATTATTAATCATCTTCTTTAATTCTGCTGGAATTGATTGCTAAAATTGATCAAAATCAATATTTTCTTCATCTTCATACGGATCCTGATCATCTTGTAGGTTGATAATGACTTCAGTTTCTTCTTCTTCTTCTTCTTCTTCATCAGAGCCCAATGAGGATAATGCTTCAATCATTTTCTGTTTTAATTGGGCTTTTTCGGCTTTTGATGAAGGGAGTTTCGATAAGTCTATAATGACTTTTCCTTTTTCTTTTATAGATGACATTTCTCTTTAGATTGGGCTTTTTTGTGTGATAAGACACATTTTCTTCCAATTTTCAAATTTGTCTTCTACATATTGGGCTTCAAATTTTTTCCACAAAAAAAATTAGTTTTTAAGCAGAGGGTTTTAGGATAGGTTTCTTCTTTGTGTTGATGGATTTCAGGAATGTGGGCCAAAAGTCAGCTTATTCCCATGGTTGAACAGAATTTTATGATTCGAAGGTGTGAACGGTATTGGGGAGTAAGACTTTTATATTTTTGGTACATTTTCATGATTTTTTCTGGAATTATGGATTGGACAGGACATATTTGGTGAAACCAATCAACAAACCAATTTGGTAAGGTATTGGGTACTTATTTTTTAAAATATATATACCATGAATGCCTAGGGTTGGTATCAAATAGTATCT